TATCTTCACAAATGAAGGCTAGTGATAAGTCAATCTTAAGAAAGAATTTCAAAGGATAACTGAATACCCAGTCTGGTCTTCAGCCCCTGTGTTCCCCAGTGGATCTGCATTTGCTATTGCTGCTTCTGAATGACCTATTAAAATTTAAGCTTGCTCTGACCTCCTTCCTCTCACTTGTATGACCTTTTCTTTCCCCAACTTTTCACTATTAAATATCTCCTTGCAGCCCTCATCACCTCTCCCCTGGACTATTTGATCTTTCTGCCTCAAGTCTCTCCCTATACCAATTCATCATCCATACTGTCTCCAAAGTGATTTTCCTGCAGCACACAGCTGATTATGTCACCACACCTTTATAAACTCCAGTGACTTCCTGTTACCTGTTACAAATATAAACTCCTATTTGGCATTTAACATCCTGCACAAGCTGGCCCTCTCCTCCCTCTCCAATTTCATTATATATCACTCCCCTCCAAAGTCTTGAAGATGTACTTGTGATTTCTTATTCTGCATTCTCCCACCTCTGTGCCTTTTCCCTGCCTAACCATCATGCCTGCTCTCCCTCTTGGTCTCATGTTTTCTTCAGGACTCAGCGCCAAGCCCCACCTTCTACAGAAGGCATTCTTGTTCTGTTAGCCACCTGTGCTTTCCCATTGTCTGCCTCCTATGCATTGTGCATATACGTTCATCTCTTCCCCATTACCATGCAAACTCCATAGGAGCACTTTTGTCTAGGTGACCCCAGTGCTTATCACAATGCCTTGGCAGACAGTAAAATGGCACTTAGTAAAAACTTGTTGCTTGAAACTCGCCTGTGCCATTTGCTTCACGTACTTCTAATTCATGTATTTTCTCTAGTTATTTTGAGGCACTAACTTCTTTTTCTAGGACAAATGCTTCAGGTGATATTTGTGTATCTCAAATGCTGAATAGTTTTGACCTTAGGATACAATATGGCAGCTGGGTGGTACAGTGGATGGACCACTGGACTTGGAATTGGGAAAACTCATCTTCCTGACTTTAAATCTGGCCTCAGACATTTATTAAATGATCTATCTTCTAGTTCTAAAACCTGTGGAGAGTGGATAGAGGTTGCAAATGGGCAAATTTAGGTTTGATGTCAGGAAAAACTTCCTAATAATTTTGGACAGCTCAAGTGGAATGGGCTACCTCAGGAGGTGGTGTGGGTTTTGAATTCTTGAAGGTCTTCAAGCAGAGATTAGATGAACCTGTAGAGCAAGGAAGGGGAAGCTCTCACTATCACCAGCTTAGAAGTACTTATTCTTTTTGTGTCAGTCAAATCAAGGAAAGGATGGAGTGTACTCAGTCCCTATGGGAAGAAACTAAGATTTCCAGTTTTGTCTTCACAAGTGTGCAAGTACAAGGGAGGCTAGTGATAAATCAATCTTTTTTTTTTTAGGCAATCGGGGTTAAGTGATTTGCCCAGGGTCACACAGCTAGTAAGTGTCAAGTGTTTGGTCTGAGGTCAGGATTTGAACTCAGGTCCTCCTGACTTCAGGGCAGGTGCTCTATTCACTTCACCACCTAGTTACCCCTGTGATAAATCAATCTTAAGGAAGAATTTGAAAGATGTGTGATCCTGGGCAAGTCACTTTATTCTATTTGCCTCAATTCCTTATCTGTAAAATGGAGTGGAGAAGGAAATAGCAAACCACTCCAGTATCTCTACCAAGAAAACCCCGTATGGGGTTACTAAGAGTTGGACATGACTGAACTGGCTCAACAACAGGACACAACAGGCTAAGTGGGCACCTGCCAGCTCCTGAATACCTGTAAGTTGAATATCCCCTGCCCCAGTCCAGCCATGAGAGAAAATAGGCTTTTTTTTCGGTCCATGAGAGACCATTAAAAAGAACCGCAGTGGTCAGCTAGTCCAACCCATACCTAAAAAGAATTCTCACTATAACAGTACCCTAAAGGTTTATCTTAGGAAGTTTTTCCTGACTGACATCAAACTTAAATTCGCCCATTTTCAACCTTTATCCATTGACCATAGGTTTTAGAACTAGAAAATACTTAGATCATTTAGTCCAAACTCCCCCTTATTTTACAGATGATGAAACTGAGGCCCATAGAGTTTAATGGACTTGTCCAAGGTCACACTGGCAGGAAATAGCAGAGCTATCATTTGAATCAAGTCTTCTGATACCCAAATCCAATGCTTTTCCCACTATATCATACTGCCTCCCCTTTCCCCCCACCTCCACACTTTTTAAAAAAATGCACCACACAATTTATTCCAAAGACTGAGAGGCAGGGGAGGGGGAAAGGCAGGAAGGGCAGAGGCCAGGGAGATGGAGGAAGAGGGTCGAGAATCCTCTTGTGCTCCCTTCAGATCTTCCCAAGATCTGCATACCTTTGCACGGGGAGCATAATACTGCAATGATTGTTTCCGGGGCCTATGTCCTCGTGCCAAGGTTCTTGTGTGCAAGACTTGTGAAAAAAAAAAAAAGTCCTGGAATTTCTGTAAACAGTTATGGGTCTTGTTCTGGTTGATGAAGCACAAAGTCTAAGGGTTCTTTCTCACATCATTTTCTTCTCTTCACCAGGCCCCCATCTGTCTCACCTTGACAGCCAGCATGCACAAGGGCAGAATTTCTTCCCTTTTTTTTCCCCAAGAAGCAAGACTGGTCTGGCATTAGAATATATCAGAAATGACGATTTCCAAGACAGGTTCTGCCTTCTCTCCTTGCTTTTGCCTACAGCAGTGTGTTTGTGTGTCTGTGTGTGTGAATGAATTCCCATCACCTGAATGTGAATTATTTAGAGCCTATATGCTGAGTCACTCTCCAGAGGACAAATATTGTCCAAATAAATAATTAATGTAGCTAGCTGCAGTCCATTCCCAAGGTTGGTGCCAAATCTGGAATACTAATCACATTTCCTGTCAACCATTCCAGAATAATACTCTTCAAAGATATAACAACATAGCCCTTTGTCCATGGTAGGTACACATATTTCATTTGTGTTTCAGGCAGTTGCATTCCCTCTAGGCAAAGAGAAACAGAAACAGAAACATTTATCTAAGGAATTACTTGCTCCTAAAACAGGAGATGGAGGTGAAAGGGAAAATGCAGGGAACAAGCCAATCTTCCAACCGACAACAGCAGGAATGTGCAGTTGTCTAATAGTTTTTCTTGATCCTTCTTCCCTCTGCTTCTCCTCTCCACCCACCCAGCTTTGTGTACTGCACAGAAGCCTGAAGGTACCAAGGTAACAGGAACCAGGCCAACGGGCTGCATAGTATACACAGACATGAGAAAAGAAAAGCTTTCTGGCCACCATGAGCAGCCCAGATTGAAATCCCAAAGACAGTAGTTCCAAGTCTAGACTGGAACTTTGGTGTGATTTGCAAGTAAGCTAACCAACCAGTTTCTCCATTTCCCTTCCTGCAAAACAGGCAGAATAATCCCCTCAAGCAGCACAGATTACAGGGTTTTCCTCAGTTGGTGAGCAATGGAAATGATGAGTGTATTGATAAAGCAAAGACTGGAGCAATAATCCATCAGTAATGTAGACTCCTGGATTCATCAGGCCAAGTTACAAATCCATTGCTATAAAGGATGGAGTGAGGGACAGACTCTTTGACTCCTTTGAATTTCCATCGTGTTGTTGTACTTCCCTTTCATACTCATTCTATTTTGTGTAATGGTTGTTCATCTTCCTTACTACATACAAACTCCTCGAGGGTCTATCTTACTTAACTTTGGATTTCTCTCAGTCTCTAGATAAGTGTCGTGTATAGAGTATACAGTGGAATTTTAAGGTTGCATCAGCGAGTTTGGCTGCTCAAAAGGTGCTGAGCTCTAAACAAAAGTTTCTTAAACTCAGTGACATTGGCGGGGTAGGTGGGAGTTGCAATTTGTACCTCTTACAGAGAGGTAGTTAAAAATAGCTTTCTGCAGAGGCTAGGCAACTACAGCATAGTCGGTTACAGCAAAGCTTATTCCAAACACCTGCATTATATGTGTGCTGGGAGTAGGGGCGGTGTGTGGGGGGAGTTGGGGGAACCATGCTCCCTGATTCACCCCTTCAGGAATTTTCTCCCCTAGCTAACTTTACCCTTTTAAAAAGCTACTTCTGCTGTCACCTGTATTTATCTCGTGCTGTGAAGGTATAAGGGGGAGGGGGTGAAGGGCGGGTTGGAGGGTGCAAGGTTGGAGTCTCCCTGCGCCCAATCCTTTTGCCTCCGGGGGTGGGTGGGTGTGTGTGTCCTATTTTATACCCTCTGCTTGAGTCCCCCAACATTGGGTGTATCAGGAATGCTGGGGCCCACTATCCCCCCTGCCACCTGGACAGTGTCCCAGAGGAAGCTTTACGCCTCTTTCGGGAGGACAGAAAAGCTGACGTGCCCTTCGGTCCTTGCCGGGCCTCGGACCCCCTGGAATACCCCTAACACTTCAGACTAAGTCCAGGCGGAGAACACCCCGCCACCCCTCCAGGGTCGGGCCAGCCTCCTCCTCTGAGGCAGTCTCCCCCCCCCCCCGCCCCCGGTTGCCCAGGGCCACGCGACTCTACACAAACAGTCTCCAAGAGGGGCGCGGCCTCCGCCACTATCCCTGGAGGAGCCTCTGGGACCCTGAAGCACAGCCCCCGCCCCCACACGAGCCCGCACCCGCCCGCTCCCCCGTCTGCGCGCCTCCCACTGCACTGCGGCGGTTACTAAGACGCTAGCCTCTATCAACCAATCGCGTGATTCCCTTGGCGCCCTCGACTGAGTCGGCCAATGAAAAGACAAATCAATCATTTGAAACAGCCAGTGGAGGATGCACTGCAGCGCGAGAGAGGATGTTCTGATAGGTAGACGTAGGACCATCGTCTACCAATAAAGAAGGGGAACTGCCAGGAAGGCGGGAGTTGAGGCTTTAGATTGACAAGGTTGGAGCCAATAGTATATGAAAACATGTGGCCTCGTTCTGGTCATCCAATAAATGGTGAGAGGAGGCGGGTGCTCGTGGCTATATAAGAATTCGGCAAACGTCGGTTGCAGCAGTCTGCGCGCCCGATCTTTTTCCGCTTCTGTGTGCTCGTCTCCGTCGCCGCAGCCGTTACCATGAGGGAGATCGTGCACCTCCAAGCCGGGCAGTGCGGCAACCAGATCGGCGCAAAGGTGAGCGGTCGTGGCCCAGGTGGGAGGCTTCTCGGGACAGTGGAGCCGGCCCTGGGAATCTCTGAGGGCGGCGGCACCGGGAAAGATGGCGCCGGGAGGGTCTGGGCCACCTCCGCATTGCGGAGAAGGGAAGCTGCAGCGCTTTGGGTCCGCTTGAAGTGAATGCGAAGAGGGAAGGGCTGGGTGGGGGGGGGGCGGGGAGCGGGTCGCGGTCCCGGGGCCGCTCTGGTTTCTTGAGCTTCCGGGCCCAGCCTTGGGTGAGGCCCCTTGGGGAAAGCGGGGCGGGGGCGGAGGAGAGGAAAGAGGAAGGGTAGGGAAGAGCTGGACGAGTTCTCGGCCTCCTCGCCCGCCCGGGGCGTGGCCGGCTCCGCCCTCCGCTGCGCCGCACCGGCTGCACCGCCAGCCCGCCCTCGGTGACTCAGGTCTATCTCTGCTTGATCGACCCGCCAATGTCTTCCAGTTCTGGGAGGTGATCAGTGACGAACATGGTATCGATCCCACCGGAACCTACCATGGGGACAGCGACCTGCAGCTGGAGAGGATCAATGTCTACTACAATGAAGCCACCGGTACGTGGTTTAAACTCTCTGGTCCCTCCTCCTCCTCCTCTTCCTGATTGCTAAGGGCCCGGCCTTTCCCTTTCCCTGGGCTGCCTTGCTCATCACACCTCTCTGACTAATGCCTTCTCTATTTCCAGGTGGGAAATATGTGCCCCGAGCAGTTCTGGTCGATCTTGAGCCTGGAACAATGGACTCTGTCCGGTCTGGACCTTTCGGACAGATTTTCAGGCCAGACAACTTTGTCTTCGGTAAGCAGTTTTGATTACACTTTCTTAACAGACATTCATTCTTCCCTATCTCCCTTAGTTAATTGAGCTATCAAAGCCCCTTTGGGGAGCAGCTAGGTGTAGCCCCTGTCTTTTGATCTTGAGTTTAGGTTATGTGGGGAGAAAGGAGGGAGAGGAGTTGGCATTGGTCCCCCTGGTACCTGGCAACAAGCAGCATGACTCCAGTCTCTTCCTCTCATCTCCCTCACACTCCCCCTTCTTTGCATTTAAAGAATTCATAGAATATTACAACTGGGAGAGAACTTTAAAGAGAATCAATTTGTACATTTTATACAGGAGAGAAATTTAAGAGTCAGTGAAATGACTTATTAGTTTGACAGCTGGGTCTGTCACTTGTTTCTCCAACACTTTGACTTGGGCACTTCTGGCTGGGGGAAGCACAGGGTCAAAGGGTTCTTTCTTACATCAGTAGGTATCTTATTAAGATGCTTATTAAAGGGACTGAGGAAGCTGGTTTCTTTGTGCCATAATGCATGAACTTGGGGGTCAGATTTAATATTTGACATCCTAATATTTTAATATCAGTGGTTGTTTCATCACCAAATTATGTGTGATATTTTATTTTTGCTTTTACTGTTTAAAGTGAAGTTTGACCTTAACAATGTAAAGCGGAGTTTTGTTTATTTTATTTTATTTCATTTTAATTTTAAATTCTTAAGAATTGAGACCCTGATTTACTTGAGATATTTCTTGAGGTAGGGGTGGGTGGGAATTAAGAGATATAGATTCTAGGATGGTCTTAATAGCCATTGATCACAAAAGGAATGATTACCATTTCTTTTTTTCAGGCCAGAGTGGTGCTGGAAACAACTGGGCTAAAGGCCATTACACAGAAGGTGCGGAACTGGTTGACTCAGTATTAGATGTTGTAAGAAAAGAAGCGGAAAGTTGTGACTGTCTCCAGGGCTTCCAGCTGACACACTCTCTGGGTGGTGGGACTGGGTCTGGGATGGGTACTCTTTTAATCAGCAAGATCCGGGAAGAGTACCCAGACAGAATCATGAACACTTTCAGCGTTGTACCCTCCCCCAAGGTATCGGACACTGTAGTAGAGCCCTACAATGCAACCCTCTCAGTACACCAGCTTGTAGAAAACACAGATGAAACCTATTGTATTGATAATGAAGCCCTCTATGATATCTGTTTCAGAACCCTGAAACTGACCACTCCCACGTATGGTGACCTGAACCACCTGGTGTCTGCAACCATGAGTGGCGTCACCACCTGCTTACGTTTCCCAGGGCAGCTTAATGCTGACTTGCGTAAGCTGGCAGTGAATATGGTCCCCTTTCCCCGTCTGCACTTCTTTATGCCTGGCTTTGCTCCACTGACTAGCCGTGGTAGCCAGCAGTACCGTGCTTTAACTGTGCCAGAGCTCACCCAGCAGATGTTTGATGCAAAGAACATGATGGCTGCTTGTGACCCAAGGCACGGGCGTTATCTTACAGTGGCAGCCGTGTTCAGAGGCCGTATGTCCATGAAGGAGGTAGATGAGCAAATGCTCAATGTTCAAAACAAGAACAGCAGTTACTTTGTTGAATGGATTCCCAACAATGTGAAAACGGCCGTTTGTGACATCCCACCCCGGGGCCTGAAAATGTCAGCCACCTTCATTGGTAACAGTACTGCTATCCAAGAGCTCTTTAAGCGCATTTCTGAGCAGTTTACAGCCATGTTTCGCAGAAAGGCTTTCTTACACTGGTATACTGGAGAGGGCATGGATGAAATGGAATTCACTGAAGCAGAAAGCAACATGAATGATTTGGTTTCTGAGTATCAGCAGTATCAGGATGCCACAGCTGAGGAGGAGGGAGAATTTGAGGAGGAGGCTGAAGAGGAGGTGGCGTAAAGCTGTGCATCATCTGTAAATTATGTTGAAAGCTGTATGAACTCTTTTTATTCACTCACAAACTTGGTTTTCTGATGTTCATGTCTCGCTGCGTTCTGCACTTGCTGTTTTCCTGTTCTTTGACATCAAATGCTGTACAGATAACACCATTAAAGCATTTTTCATAGTGCATTGTGTCGTCTCTTCTGTTCCTTTCGGTAAGCTTTGCGAGTGCTGCTGCCAAATGTTAAGCCATAAGTCTGTCTCACAGCTGTAAAAAAAAGCAGAATATAGACTGAAGAGATGATTGGTGAAATGTCAGGTTTCCCAGAACAAAATGAGTTTCTATGGCTCTGTGATTTAATTGCCTGGGAGTTGGCCTAATAAAATGGCTGCTTTCCTATAAGGGGAGATACTGAAATGGTCATTAGTGGTGAATAAATAAGCTTTTGGCTAATAGCACCTAAAAGACTTGCTTAAATTTCTTTGAAGATTTTAAAAGCCGTGTTTTAAAATTTACACAAGCTATATGACTTTAAGGTCGCCATGGGCCTTAATTAGCTTACCAAGTTTTTCTTTTGGGCTTTCCCATACTTCAGGCAATGCCTTAGTTTACATCTAGAGTACAGAATTTTTTGAGTGTGGCCTACATTTGTTAGCCATATGTAGATTTGCAGCCACCTATTGGGTGCAAAGTCCAGAGGGATTTTTGCCTAAAGGTTGTACCTACCTCGTAGCTCTGTTGCTGACAGAAACTTCTTGGTGGTTCCCAAACTTGAGTTATAAGCAAGGATTACTTTCTAATAAGCCCAAGTCTCTATGATAATTAAATTACTTGTGAGTGACAAAGCTACTTGAGTAATGCTAAATTTTTAGTAGTTACCTATATTTAAAAAATAGTACTGTGTATGTATGCCAGTCAGATATTTAGTGTACAGATTAGCAAAACTGCTTGTCCCTGCTAGGGAACTTAGACCATGCTAGGTTTTTGAGGATCAGTGTAAACACCACACTAGGTGTTTTGTTCCCCTAGGAAAAGAGCTAGGGGCTGGACTGATAGATAAAGAACTGAATGGTTTTAAAAGGAGGTAATGCTAGGAAGTTTCTGGACCAAATTTTCCCTTTACCCTTTTAGGGTTACCTTTAATATTTCAAAACTACTAATAGGCACAAGTCAGTTTCTTGTTCCTATATAGCTTATTTTTCTCAAAACACAATATTTTAGGTACAACTTACATACTTGGTATGAATCCTGTGTAGAAAGGTATCAGTCCTTGACTGTGGTAAACTTTGGTGTCTGGCCAGTGTTGTTTTGGTAGTCTCTCTCCCACAGCATAAACAGGGTTTCTTATTAGAAACTGGAAAATATACTTTGTTACTTGCAAATACAGAGGTTTTTCTGTGTATTAATAACTATTAAAGAAAGCCATCATTTAATTAAGCTTAACTTCCCTGCCTTTTGGTAAATTGTGTCTCCTGCCTTTGTGTAAATGATAACTTGACATTACCATTTCTTTTTACTCCAAGGCCCTGTTGGTGCCAGATTCCTATCAGTCTGAGGAAATTCAACTAAAGGCAGTCTGTGGAATGTTTTCACCCATTCTGGCTGCAGTTCATTGATGTTTATCAGGTTGGAATCTCACTGTCCTGCCAAATGGGAGGCCAATCAAGAGTGGTGCTTAGGCCCCATTGTTAGTGGGCACCAGGTGCCTGATGGTGTCAGATGCTGCAAAGGCCTCTAAGAATTGAGTTTCTGTTCAGGTGCCATCTAGGAAGCACAATAATCCTTTGGCATCTAGAAAAGGATGGTGGGAATGGTACAGATGACAATAGGGGCTGTCAGTCCTCCCCAGTCAGGTGAATGAATTAGCTGGGAAGACAAAGGAAGGGGGATAATGGGAGGCAGGGGTTGTTGGGACCAAACGCCATAGGGATTGAAATCTTGGGGAAAAGGAGCAATGATATGAACCGTATGCAATCTTGTACCACTGTTACCCTGTACAGTTTCTGGGTGCCCTAGCCACCTATCCTGTCTACCTGGTATAGGCCATGCTTGACCAGTCAGCCCTGAAAGGGAAACAGTAAAGTTAGTGTATTTTTGCCAGGTTGTCCTAGAAGTTAATGCTCTCTTTCCTCAATTCCACTCCCTTTACTTCTCTGCTACACCTTAACAGTTTCCTCCCCACCAGAATGGAGTCTTGGCTGGACTCACAATTAGAAAGCTTTTCCTCTCCCTGTTGTCTTTATGGGAACACGTAGAGGCCAAGCAACAACGTGGTGACTCCCTGACTGATGTTTTTGCAGCCTCTGTAATAGCGCTTCAGAAGATGCTTTAACTCGAGATAAACCTATATTGTTCAAACTCATTGGGGAAAGGGAGGAGTTGGAAGTTTTTCTGTCTCAGAGAATGCTGAGAAATCAAGGCCTTTTAAATTTATTCCTTGCTTTTAGGGCCTTCCAAGGCAGCTTAAACCTGTTATTTTAGCTCCTGTCTTATCTATGAGTTAGCTTCACATTGAGAGCAGGGAATATCGAGATGAATGGCAGAATTTTTAGTATTCCATTTAAAAGTAGCTCCTAATTTTCCCAGAAAACCAGAGATTCCATGTGCTTCCTGAAGCCAGTGCTTTAGAAAGTCTCTAAGGCACCCCCACAATGGTGCATCATTGAGTAGAACTGAAGAAAGGGGGAAAATTTTACTGAGTTGATATGTTCTTCTCATGGAGAGACCTGCAGGAAGTTCAAGGTCCAGAGGGAAATGCACTTGCAGTCCCTTGTCACCCTTCAAGACTGTTTGCTGTTGGCTTGGACAATTTCTCCCTTCCTTTGTGTTTTGATTACCTTCAGTTCTCAGCTGAAGTCTTGCCTGGCTGCTCCCAGGACCCTAGCAGCCCCAGTAGGACACAGTGCAATGAGACTTAGTACCTCTAAGAGTAGCTCTACCTGAAGAAACTCAAGTGACTCTCAAATCGATCTAATTTACCTGGCTTTTATTGAATTCATCCAGGGCCTGCTGGACACCATCTCGGTAATTCATTCCCGTAACCCAAGTGAATCCTGGTACAAATCCAGCGTAGCCTATGTGGGGCAGATGAGAGAATGTCACTAATCGAGGAAATATTGAGCAGGAAACCCCAACCTCACTTTTGCAACTTACTGGGATGCCTTTTAACCTGCTTGCAGGATTTAAATTCTGTGTGTCATTTGATTCCTACTAGCTGTACTCTACCATGTAATTCCTGACCCATTGATACTTCCCCTGTGTGGCAGGACAAAGGAGCAGAAGGACTTTTTTTTTTAGCCCTTTGTACCTGTAAACACTTAGCCCAGTGCCTCGAACATAGAAAATCCTCAATTGCTTGTCAACTAAGAGGAGACTTGGGTTTGAGTCCTGGCTTTGCCATTTGCTAGCTGTATGACCTTGGGCAAGTCATTTAGATTCTCTGAGCCTCAGTTTCCTCAACTATAAGATCAGAGTACTTCCACCTTGCTGTGAGGAGGAAATGTATGTGAAGATGTGTAAACTGCAAAGTGCTATGGAGGGTAGAGTATTACTGTTGATAAGCTTCAGTGCTATCTGATAGAATGTTAGGGACGTGTACAAGAGAAACCTGAGTGGAAGGTTTTGTTCAGATGTTGCTTTCCCTGTACAACACAGTTGGTCTTTTGGGGCAAGAAGATAAAGGTACATTTTGATAGGGGTCTGAGCATCTCTCATAGCTGTCAAAGTCTGGTGAATAAACCGGGTTCAGTGTTGTGACTCTCAGGAACCAGTCAGGTAGACAGGTGTGAAAGGATGTCCACCACATCACCATCAGTCAGGGCTTGGCCCTCTGCAGCACCACTTTCATCTTCCTTTTTGAGTCATCTCTCCCTTTCATCTGCTGACATAGTTTTGAACTCTGGGTTTCCATGGAGCCAAGGTAATGTGTCACCAGCCTGACAGACTGGACTTTGTATCTTGCCTGTCTCTATAGTGTGAGAAGGAGCTTGGGACCTATGCATCTGGTCTGTTCCAGGGCCTCTGGTGTCCCTTTGATACTTACCTCTGATGACAGAGGCTCATAGGGCACGGGAGCACTGGGCTAAGTGTGGAGGCAAGGCTGAAGCCCTGAAGGAATGAATGCTAAGGGAAAGAAAAAAATCTAGCTTAGAATCAGTGTATCAGACTCTGAAAGGACCTTAAAGATCAGATAAATGAATACCTCATTTTACAGGTAACGCACTTGAGGCCCAGAGAGGTGAAGAAACTTGCCCAAAAAGTCTCAGCAAGACCTTGGCAGAACCAGGACTGGAACCCAGTCATGACTTCTGGGCTCTGGCCACCCACCCGAGATGGCTTTGTGCTGGATCAGGTTGGGCTTGTCTAGCTTAGGAAGCCTCTCAAACCTGCCGACATCTAGTGTCTCCGTCTGGGGTGGCAGAGGGGGATACACATCTCTTCGGAAGTGGTACAACTAGAACAAGAAGGGTGAAGCTATTGTCACCTCCGTAGCCTGGCTGAACAGCCATATTCTCCACCTCCTCCCCCATTCCCCTCTTAGAGTTCCCTTGGGTACTCTTCCCATCCTCCTCCCCCCAACCTCCTGCATTTTGGATGTCTTGGGGGAGGATTCAACTGAGTACTGACAGGGAACCCTCTGTGTACCTGGGGAGATACAGGAGCCTTGTCAAGAGAGGGTGAGGTTTTCCACCCTTCCTTTCCACGTGCCAGTTGGAAACCTGGATGTCCAAATTCAGGTTTACTGACCTTCTTGCCTGGTGGACATGGTGGGTAAGGTGGATAGGGCATAGTTTCAGTGCCTATGCCAGGTGAAAGCATGTGCTGATTGCTGTCTGGCACAGGAGTGCCATGTTGCTCCGTCCCAAGGGGTGGGTAGTGTCCTCGGACCTCAAAGTCCTTGAAGGGCTGGAATCCTGGGTAGACATGGAGGTGAAAAATGTGAATAGCTAAGAGTCCCTCAGTAGGACACAGAAAAGTGAAGGAGGTACGTATCTTTGTTTCTCACCTGTGTAATGGGGGATGTAGGGCTGGTTCGCATCCATATATTGTGCATGGGATATTTTATTTTGGCTAAAATCCTCAATGAACTTGGGTTTGCTGAGTGGTGCCAACACAGAACATGGGCTCTTATTCACTGTTGGGTCTGTCAGCACCTGTGCAGTGCTCTGGCCATAAGTGTATCCCACCT